TACATTTGATTATATTTTTATCATATTTTTAAACCGTGCACTCGGACGGTCGGGCTGCCGGCGGCGTTTTCAACACTTTAAGAGACTCGCGTGGCGGCGAGATCACACGCGACCTCGAAGACGGGTTCATTTGCCGGGAACGCATCGGCATTCGCCCGTTGAGAAACACTGGGGCGCTTTAATAGGCGCCGAGTCCGCTCCCCTTCGAGGCATCCATCAACTCTCGGGATGCACTTCTCTGTCGACGAGTGCGCTGTGGCAGCGTTATGAAATTTCTGCGATAGAGCAAACGGAGTCGCGCCGAAGCGTCGCGACCACCCAGTTCGACGTTGACCGATTCCCCGATTCGGCGATACGATGTAATTTCGAAATTCCCGAGTCGCGGATTCTCGATTCCGATATTTATTTTTCGACGTTCATTCGAGTTTTCGTCCTGCAGGGTTCCCTCCGGAAATCCGAGGGCAGAAACGCACCCGGAGGGCGGAACCGTCCCGCTGTCTCTCATTTAAGCATCCATCAACCCTGGACGCGCGTCCCTTCGCGTTATGAAATTTCTGCGGCCAAGTTCCGCCCGGACGGCGGCGCGGCCGCCCTCTGGCGGAGGACCGGGGCGCCGCGACATAAAGCCCCCGGGATTTTCATAATGAAATTGCGGGCTAGGTGTCAGCTGCGTCGCGTCGCGAGGCGCGCGACCGGGATTTGCGCTCGCCTTCCTAAAATAATTCCGCTCCCCGAACCGCGCCTGCGCGCCCGCGTTGCGCCTAATTAGGCGAATTGTCTAGACGGCCGCTCGTTTTCCGCGACGTCCGAGCCGCATCAACGACCCTTCCGGCACGGGAAATGCACCCTGAAGAAGGGGGAAATGCATATATATATATATATATATATATATATATATATGGAAAAAGAAAACGCATCCAATCCGCGGTTCCAGCGACCGACAATTCCTGTTTTCCCGCGACCGATAAAAGGCCTTTCCGCTCCAGTTTCTCCGGATTTTTCAGCGAACCGCCGTTTTGCGAAATGGCCGCGACGATCGATCGCGCAAGGAGTGGCTACGCGACCAATGAAAGGGAACGGCTTTTTCCGGAGTTAGTCGACTTTTTAAAAAATCCCCCCCCTCTCTCGGGAAATCGCGTGGCGACGGATTTTGGCCCCGCTTAAGGTGATACGAATGCGGCGTCGAAGAGGTCTCGTTTGTGAAACTTTACTCCGAACTCAGTGAACCGAACCGTTTCAAATTTTACAGAGTGAGCGCGGAGGCTCTAAAGAAGATCCTGACACTCGTGAGATTTCAATTTTTGCCAAAATCTGTTTAAGATATTTTTAAAATTTGTTATANATATTTATAAAACTCTACTATAAACTGGGTGCACCTAATCGTTGGAAACTTTATAACACGTGATTATGGAGACCCTAAGGATGAACGCGATGCTCATGAAATGTCATTTTTCAATCAAAAATATGTCTCCTTGGTTCTAGTCTGGGATACGTAAACAAATTTTTGTTGAGAAATAAAATTTCACGAGTGTCGCGTTCTTCCTTAGGGCCTCCATAATCACATGCCGAAGTTTCAAATTAATCGGTGCACCCTATTTGGAGAAAGGTTTTATAAACATTTTCACGTTTTGGTATATATATACATATGACACTTTCATATCGCCTTAAAATCCGCCGCCGGTTTCGAGGCGGCCGTCGAGTCGCGTTTCCTCGTACCCTGGGAGATTAGGGACGCCGACGTGTCGTTCGGATCGAGTCTCTCGCGTTCACGCGTGTTTCACGGCCTCCCACGCGTATCCGACGCATTGTCTAGCGGCCATTGTCGGCCCGGATCGAATTTCCTCGTCTCGTGGCTCTCTCTCTCACTCGAGTGCAGCGATGCACTCCGAAGTGCAGCGACACCCTGCGGAACCGTCTTCTTACACGGCTCTGTCTCGAGACGCCGAACTTGCGAGCTCCTTCGCGGCTGTTTGCGGCCGCATCCGCGTATCGATCCGTGCACCCGCGTGCACCGCGGAATCCGCACAGCCGAGTGTGCGGCGAAACGTTTCCCCGGAGGCGCATCTCCCCCGAGAATGTGTACACCGCAAGAGGGCGCACCACGGGTGCCGGCAGCCATTGTCGCGGCCTCCGCAGAATTTACTCGCGGCTTACGCGGAATCCCCGCTGTCGTATTAATCTTCCCGCGTCGCGGAACGATCGAACGTCTTCGCCTCGATCGGCGGAAAGAAATCGAAACTACGCTCATTCTCACGTTACAAAGAACGAAAACGTAATGCAAAAGGTGTAACGCCGAATTTTCTTTATTTCTCCTTTTCTCTTGCGATTAATTACTATTTATATTCACCATCGTTAAGATGGTATGAAAGGGCCATACTATATTAACATAAACCTCGAAATATTTATAACACTTGATAATCCAAACTGGGAGCGCCGAACCGTATGAAACCTCGGCATGTGATTACGAATTCCCTAAGGAACGCCCTGAAACTCGTGAGATTTCATTTATTCGAGAAAAAGAAAAACTTTTCCTTATCCCAAAGTAAAATCATGTAATCACTTCCTTTTTCTTTTTTTAATGAAATTTCATCAGCATCGCATTCTTCCTTGGTTCCTCCATAAGCACGTGCTAAAGTTTCAAGTGATTCGGTGCAGCCAATTTGGAGAAAGGTTTTTTTTTTTCACATTTTGACATTTATATATGTATATATAGGTAGGCCCCATAACCCCTTAATATCACTCTGCCGATACATCCAGTACTACTACGAATAAGGGCACTTCGCGGTAGAATAATTAAAAACAAAAGGCAGAAATTCCCATTGACCCGGAGGTTTCACTCGCAAACGCGCGGCGATCTTTCCGCCTCCCGAAGGAGACTGGGAGACGTCCGGGGAATATCCAGGGAATCCCGGCATACGTCTCGGCAGACGTCCCCCGGAATATAAAGTTCATCCGGAGTCCCGGCGTGAATCATCGATCTAATTTCCTCCGAATCCTTTATCTCCTCCGGCGGGCCGGCTTCCCGTGCGGCGGGCCGGCAGCGATTTCTCCACGGAATTCGAGATTCCGCCCCGTCTATTACTTGTCGCGCGGGCGTGCACGCGAATCGGCGCTCGCGTGAATCCACAATGGCGAGGAGACGTTCCCGAGAGAGCGCCTCCGGGATCCGAGCCGACCCTCTCGTGCACCGGGGGCCGGGATTAAATAAAAATCACGCGAACCGGAGATTTGGGCCGCGCAAACCGCGTCGGTAGTTCGGGCGTGGCGGCGCTGCGCTCGCTCGGTCCTCTTCCGGCACTCGGCCCGGGTCTGCATGCGAATGAGAACTCACCCCCAGGGGGGAGGCGACGAGGACTTGCAAGGATGAAGGAGGGGGGGGGGGGGCACCGCGTCGAGCCAACAAACGGAATGGGAAGAAGGCTGCATTTATTAAACCGAGGCGCTAGACGTGCCTCCCTGGCGGGGGCGGGTCTGGAGAAAGGGGTGCTGCCGAGGGGTGGGTGGCCGGGAACTAAACCCTAGGATTTCCTAACGACCCTCGTCCAATGCGTCGAGGGACGATTCGTCCGGCTCGAGGAAGTCGACGATACGACCCGGTTTGTCCGCATAATTTCTAGCCCGAGACAAACGCACCGGAAGAGGGGTTTCCAGAAATTTAGGCGGCCTCCCCTCATGCCGGAAATCGAAACACAAGGAGGGTTGCGTTTATTAACGTAATATGAAAGAGTTGCTCAATATATATATGAAAAGGTCAAAAGGTTTATAAAGCTTTTTTTCCGAACTTGGTGCACCGAGTACATTGAAACTTTAACACGTGATTATGGAGAACGTAATGAAGGTCTTTGAGACTCGCGAATTTTCATTTTTTTTTTTTTGGTTCTTGTCCGGAGTAAATGCAACATTTTGTGATTTATGTATGTGACACTTTTGTGACACCTTAAACTGGGGTAGACGCGCTTATTCCGCTCTGGGAAGAGTTCCACCAGGGCGCGGAAGAAGGTTCTTCAAGTTTCTCTTCAAGGTCGTCTTCTAGGTCCTCCTCGGGGATTCCCTTGAATCGTGCCCGAAGGGCGGTGAGCTAGAGTGAGCGGGTACCTCGTGTTCCAGGTCGGCTCTTCGGGGTGCCCGTCGATCACTGGAAAGGCTGGGGGACGTCGAGACGAGGGAGCCGACGCGTTCCCGAGGGAATCCAGGAACGAGGGGGCCGCGGAAACCGCGGCAATCGGGGGAGACCCCAGTGCCGGGAATTCGGAATTTTCGGGACTCCCGGGTTTAGTCGTCGGCTTTGAGAGGCGGGAGATTAGCTCCGGCGACGCGGCGAATTATGCGCGGTCGATAAGGGAGGAAAACCAGGGGAACGATTAATCGGAGTATATACGGAGGCCCAGGGACAGGACAGGCGTGACTGATTCATTATGAGGACGTAATTAAGTCCTAGAGAATTAGCATACCTGTCCCCTGGTACCGCCTCTGTCGCCACCAACACCATCCCGTGGGACCAGCCACCGATACGCGCGAGTCCTACGGGCGCTTCTAAGACCGGACCAACTCCGGAACGAGACGCTTCCTGTGCTAACGAGACCGTCACTTATGTCCCGGGAGCTGGGAAGGAAAGTGCCCCGACGTTTATCGACCTATCGGCCGGTCCTTAAAAGCCGAGCCCATATCAGCCTCTTAATCCCCCGGGACCCGACGGCGTCTCTATTGCTGGACGAATCCTGCCAGTCGGCCGCCTCGTTAGGCCCCGTCGAGCCCGTGTTAAACGGAAAAAGAAAAAACCAAATGAAACCTTGTAATTTCACAATATTCTTGTTGGAAGTTTTATGGTTCGTCGTATTATATATGCTGTTTTACGACGATTCGTAATTAAGACGTAAAGTATACGGTTTTACCGCCAGTTTATATATCGAAAATGCACGAATTCGATGACTGGGGGCGAGAGATGATACCTGGAAGGGGAGACTTTCGGAGAAGTTGACGGACTTTGAATTTTCTTCCAGTACGCTGAGGAGGAGGATGGAGGAGCTGGAGACGCTGGATAACACGGAGTGTCCGGAGTGCCCCGGACCACCCCCGGAGTTCCGGCTTCCGCCACCCCCTCGGCCACCCTTCCTGACGGAGGGCACCTTCTGCTCGGAGGCGCCCCTCGCCGAATTGGAGGACTGCGTCGCCATTCCCGTGAGTACCCTTCCGCTCCCACCGACGATCTTAAGTAACCAAGGGGGATGAAAAAGGGCTTGGAAACCGGTATTTGGGAGAAATCGTCGAGAAACGTCTTCTGGGGGGTGAAAAAAGCCCCTAGCGAAATTGGCCATCTCCCGCCTCCGGGCTTGACTTCGACCGGAGGTCTCCCTTTGATCGAATCACATTTCTTCCCCTGTCTTAAGGGCTGCTCCCTATTTCGCCCCGATTTGATTATTAACTCTTGGTTTTAATTATGCCCACCTTCCCTGGGCCCGACGGAAGACTCGAGGTTAGCAGAGACTGCAGGGAGCGATCCGTCGCCCGGGTGGCTAGCTAGTCGCCGAAGGGGTTGAAGTATTGCTAAAAAGGAAGTCCAATATTATGAGAGAGGGTGGAGGGGCCGGGAGAAGACGAAGAAGCTCGGCATCCCCGGGCGGCGCCGTGTCCACGGCGGAGATTGTAAAGCTTTCCCGTCCATCCATCTATTCGCCCGGTCAAGGACCACCGTCGGGGGTGGAAAAGTGGAAAAGGGGATGTTTCCCGGGGACGGGCCGGGAAAAGAATTCCAATTAAAGTGCGGTCCGAGAGGCGCGGTGTCCGATCCTTCCCCTCGCGCGAAGAACGCGTCGCCCCCGGCCGACCGCCTCCCTCTATACAGTTGCGCCGACCCCCGACCGCCTCCGACCGACCTAAGGCGTTGCTATAATAATGGATAAAGTTCCCGGGGTCACTGCCTCGAGTTATAGGTCGGACGATGGGAACGATAAATCTTTTCCATGAGAGAAAAGATCGGCCAAGCCATCCCCCTACCCTTTAAGCAGCTAAACGCTCATCCTCCAACCCTATAAATTTCTCGGTCGGGTTTCAGGATCTGACCGACGATATCCGACCGATCGTCCGGGGAAAAGTCGTCATCCCCTTCCTGGAAGTTGGGAATTTCGGGTATGGGGTCTCCAATTACGCGTAATGATGTAAAATCGTCGGGCGATAATGGTTCCCGGGTCTCGTCTTGCCGACGACACGTGTTCCCTATTAATAGGCGCGCCACACCGTTTTTACTCTCGTCGCGCCTCCGGGAGCGACACGACGGGGGAAGAAAACAAAGCGGGCCGGGAAAGAGTCCGCGCAGACGAGCTGCAGAAGGAGAAGAAACCGAGCCGAGCCGTCCTGACGCTCTTCAGGGTAAATACCCTTTTTCCGACCCGCTAAAAGCAAAGTCGAAGCTGGTACCTTGCCTCCTACGAACGCGTCCCTTATTCCTGGGAGCAACACGGACCGTGTCTCGATGCGAAATAGTTGGACTTGTTCGACGTCCTCGCTTGCACTTGATCCTTCAGGTCCCACCCTGAAGAAAAAAGTGTTCCTTGAACCAGAAAAATATTTCATTGGGTGGTATTTCGTTACTTCCTAGAATGTTTCGACTCAAGTGAGAATCGAGTAAACCGGACGCGACGTTTCTTCGGAATTACGTAAACTTAGTCAAATAATTGGAATTATTCTTTGAATTGAAATGATATTTCTTTGGTTTAGAGGGAATCTTGTTTTTTTTTTTTTTTTTCCTTGGCGGGACGGATCCCCGAATTCGGGAACCAGAGGAGAGATAGAAGGACACGGGTACCTCGGTCGGGTTTCTCGTATATTTCCGAATTTCCTTGTCGGGGGCCATTTTTGCCCCGCGATAAACAAGCCGTTAGGTCGTCCCGGGAACTTTCCGCATGAAACTTTTATGCCCCCGACTGGGTGAAGTGCATTCGCACGAGACACCGGCGTCTGGCCGGGAAACGGCCGAGGGTGGAATCGTTTAAATTATTATCGGGTAAACGCAGACGGCGAAATAGAAATCGTTTAGGTCCCAAGAGGGCGGCGGGGGGTCCCGGGAGTAATTTCGGGCTTGTATAATCCTAACGATAAGTCCGGGCTAGTAATTAGTCCTGGACCTTGGCGGGGGGCCGCTTCCCCCGAAACGGGGGCAAACTTCCATTAGGAAGTTTGCCCGGCGCCTTCTCGACTCGAAATAACAGAACGCTTCGGAGGTGGATGAAGGTGCCGAGGCTTAAGGGAAGTCGAAAGGTCCCGTTTAAAAGGACAGGTCATTGCGAGCCGAGTCATGAAATCCCGGAGTCATGAGAACCGACGCGCGACTCGCGTGGGAACGTGCGGGGCCGAGGCGTTGGCCGCCATTTTGGTTTTTTATGAAGAATGGCATCGCGATCGACGAGTCGCCGATAATTGTCCCGTAACTCGATCAGGACGGCATCTCGCTGATGAGGCGATTAGGAGGGGTCCTTGATAGAGTCCTCAGATATGGAAATACGTACCCAGGGTAGATGGTAGCCGAACGATAGGACGATTAAGACGCCGCGAGGCCGAGGCCGAAATTTCTCGTTTCGGCGTATAACGCGTCTTCCATAAATAACGTCCGCGTTGAGTTATGGCCCGTGGGAAACGAGGAGGTTCCTGGCCTAGCTAAGTACAGGTCGAGGATTCCTAGAAAACGAGTCGAGTCCTTCCTGGCCGCCATATTTGGCCACTCGGCCCAAGGCGTCCACGAATTAAAAGGTCCTTAGACCGAATAACCCATCTATTCTCCCATGGGCGGGACGAGCGTATTAAAAGATGAATGCAGTCGAATCAACCATCAATTACGGCCGAGTTACGAGCTAACGATTGCTTTATGCCCCTCCCTACGACTTATGGTCTCCGCTCTTCCGCGCCGCGGCCCTTCCGAGATTTAAAATATTAATCCCGGCCCTCGTGTTTATACCCGAAGAGCGCGTAAACCTCCTGGAATGAGACGCTGAAAACGGGAGAGGAGGAAAAAAAAAGGATCTCTTACAACTTCATGCCTACCTTTGCTTAGCCCTTTAGCCACTAAAAGCGTCTAAAGGCGCCCGACGTTTGGTCCAATATTGCCTGCACGCTTTGATGAATTTCGCCCATATGTCGAAAAGGCTCCGTATTCAAAGGGTTATGAAAGGGTCATTCTATATATATCAAAACGTGAAAATATTTGTAAAACTTTTCTTCAAACTGGGTGCACCGCATAATGTAATATAATATAATATAATATTATATATATGATACTCTCATACACGTCAATCCTTTCGAGACAAAGTGCTCGGCGGAGACGTTCTGCTCGACCTAACCTCGAAAATTGAAATTGCAACCAGGCATCCTCGCGCTCCTTTAATTCGGCTGATTAATTAACGTCGCGAGCTGCGTGGAATAATAATGGCGGGAAGTTTGACGTTAAATAATCAAGGAGCGCGGAACGTTGTTTCGGCTTTGGAGAAATGCGTTTCAAAGTTGTCTAAAGTGCTGTCAGGCAATTAATTTCTTCCCTATGTAGGGTATATGATCGTGCACGCGTGTTGGTAGATATACGGGAGAGGTGCGTATAACGAATAGAGAATACTCGAAAGTACGGGGTAGTCGGAAGTTGAAGGAGGGGGAGTAATTAAAAAGCATGAGTTAATATGGAGTATGTAAGTTGTCTCGAGTTTATTAGACAGTGCCGGCTTACGCGCTGTTTATTAAACCGCCTTCCTTCCTCGACGTGGCTGAATTCGCGTCTGCATCTCCGTAGTCGTAGACGGAGAAGGCAGTCGTAGCCGAGGCATGCATTAGGCGTAGTGCCGAAGTTATTGCTCGAGTATTTCACGATATTCACCAGGCGAAGGGTAAATCCTCTGCACCTCTAGCTGGCGCGGAATACACTGAAATACAGGGAATTGAAATTCCCCCGAGTACCGGCTGCCTCCTGTGATCTTATCGGGCTGGTATGCTCCCCTTTTACGTTTTTGCGACTCGCATTATAGGAAGATACTACATCCGCCATAGGCACCTGGCTATGTCACACCTGAGATGCGAAATTTCCCATTTCAGTCACATGGATAAAAAAAAAAGAAAACGACTCTCGCATTGAGAAAAGAATTTACACCGAACCGGAGACATTTCATTGGGCGGTATCAAAGAAATATATTGTTAATTAAAATAATTATTTGATTCAAGTAAAATCGAGTAAATTGGACGCAACGTCTTTGCGAAATTGTGACAATTTATTCTTGGAATTAACAAAATATTTTAGTACCGTTCAATGAAATATTTCTTTGCTTCGGGTGAAGGTTCAATGAATTTTCTTTTTCGACGCAGGACGCGATTCGCTACTCGTCGAAAAAGGGAGCGCGGAATGAAAATTGGGGATTAAAAGTTGGGGGAGGGGGAGAGGACCGAGGTAAAATCCCGAATTTTTACTCAGAAAAATTGCGAAAAAGGGTGTGCATCGAGTTGAAACACAGGATTTCACGCTGAGAAAATTTGGACGAGAAAAATATTACGAGTTGAAAATTCGTAAATTTGGGTCTGACGAAATGTGCGGATGGGGGGAAAAAAGCGAGTCGAAGTCCAGAATCAACGACCCCCCGGGGTACTCCAATAAGGGGTGGAACGTTTCCCCGAAACGCCTGGCGCTCTTCCGTGCGGTTAATTCGCCAGGGTGGAAATGGGGTAAAAATTGCATTCCGAGGAGAAATCACAGTCATCCCCGAAGCCGCGGATTCGGACACGTAGGTGGCCCCTTAGGTCGCCGTCGCGCGGGGCGCCCTTATTTTCCGCAAGGCGCGGAACTTCCCGGCAAAAGTTTAGATTACTTCCCGGGCATAATGCGGGGACCGAATCGCGAGGTCTCGCGAGCAATTGGACAAGTTTAGATTTGAGTTATGCCCATTGCCGGTGGGGGAGTCCCGGATGCGCCCGGCGACAAAGGCGAAGATGCGCGTCCACGGGGAGGGCGGCGGGTACCAGAGGCCTCGCCCGGTGATACGTTTTTGCCCCGCGAGAGTCTCTTTATTACGCCGGGGAATCCGCTTTGTTTCTGCCGACGCCCCGGCGGCAAGGGGGGTGGAGATACGGGGAATAAAAGCAAAAACAAAAGGCGGGAGAGAGAGAGAGATCCTTTCGTTGGCGCTCGACGCTGAGAAAAATGCCCGCTGGAG